CATTTTATTCCCGTTTATCCTGAAAGACTATTGTTTCCAGTTTTCTCTGAAGGATCATTTCTCGTGGGAGGGGGTGCTTTGATTCCATCTTAAGGGAGTTTTACTTGGCATTAGAGAGACTTTACCAAACGTTGAAATATGTAGTTCTTACTTTTTTATATTAAGTCAGAAATGTAAATTAATTTCGACTCCTTGGTGCCATGAAGTTGCCAAATCTACTCTTTCAACCCCACCCCATTACCACTAGATGGGCTTTCGATAAACCAAATTTCGGTTGGGATCCACACTTGAAAATTTCGCATTGTTTGTATAACTGGTGTTAGTGAATTGCAATTAATCATTAAAAAAACAAAATGCATAGGAATAGAGGAACAATTTCAGAAAATGAATACCATTTTTCCTATTTGAATTTTAAATAAGGTGTTAGAAAAACAAAAGCTTTATTCCTCGTGTGGTCACCACTGGTCCAAGTCTTGGGCTTATAAATCATTATTAAAAAGTAAACATTAATTATTTTTACAAGCGAATAAATTTAATAGGAAGAAAATGGAATATTTCCGATGCTTTGGTAAAACCCCTAAACTCAGCTACGGTGGTGTACAATTTCGTGAATTTATCACAAAATTACATGTCATCACCACAATATGAATGTGTAAGCACGTAACCACTCAAAATGTACATATTTAGCTAGAATAATCTAATAAACAAATAGAACTGATTTTGAACCATTGGCCTATTGAGCAGCTTAAGTGCAATAAGTGAATAGGTACTTTTAGGGGATCAGAGGGTGGGGGGGGGGGGGGGGGAGAGAGAACGTGGAGTGTAATTGAATTAAGGCGAGAGATTTGCATGGTCCACTTAATGTACTTAAAATAGAACACTCTTAACAAGTGGGATTCTTTTTGAATGATGCCATAACTAAAAATAGAGGATTCAATGAATTTTCACTTCAAATTGAATTTTTGGATGTACTAACGCACTTTGATCGGAGATTATTAATATGGTAAAATACGAGACGAATTTAGATTACCCTTTCAAACCTTTAACTGATTTGCTATAATCGATGAGAAATTGTTTATTTTAGGCCATTGAGCCCCAATAATCTGTACAAATTCAATTTAAGAGCCATTTAAATATTGTGACATATGTGACAACATCAAAATGTCCATTCTTCCCAGATGGCTTATAAAAGGCATAAGAATTGGGGTCTCGAGGAAGAAAAAAAACCAAGGTCACTATTGAGTAGGAAAAGACCGGCATAGATAAACCTTTACAGAGATCCACTGGTGGACAATGGTCTCAATGGCAAAGAGGGAAGAAGCCATACAGACGTTGACACCGAAGAGAGTACTATTCAACAACAAGTGTTGATTGTGTAAGTGTAATGGATACTGGATAGATAGGAGCCGAAAGTATGACTCCCAAAGAGCACAACTTTTGCAGTGGCTTGATCAAATTAGAACTGTTTAGGCATGCAAACGCGACACAATTGGGAACTAGGGGCATCAATCATACCCACGAAATCCCCTTTGATTTGACAGTGAGAGCCTGGACATCACGAGGGCTCAAAAATATTGTGACTGGCTTTCTGAGAGGCAAAGACAAGTCAATGGTTCAAGACACAATGAAAACGGCCGCATTTGTCTATTTCAATCTCCTATGTTGAACAAAAACGGGGTGAATGCAAATCTCCAGCATGCGTACAAATGCCTGCCTCAAAACCACGCAGTAGTCTTGTACCACCCATGCAGGATCACAGCTCCTCGTCGCAATGATGAAATGAACTTCCAACGTCCAATTTCCGATAGTTTTAAGGCCTATAAACGACATGGGTGGAAAAAATCCGGCAGATCTCAGAATGCTATCCTCACATCCGATAATGAATTCAGTGCAAGACTCTTATAAATGTCGTTTGTAAAGTGGCAATATTTGCTACCCAGATTTAGAAGATTTGGCCTCATATACCAAGCCGCCCTAAACTTTCTATTCCTTTGTTGCTGAAGCTAGCTATCCGCCTGTCATTTGCCAATGAATGGGAATTCCACGTCCTCTTTCTACAAAAGGTAAAGGCATAGTTACTGGGAGAAACGTCCATTGGTTGAAAGTCTAAGCCATTGCCAATTTTCGATTTACAAGGAGAGATGCTTTCTAAATTTCCCGCCTGAATTGAGTAGAGAGCAGTTGGTCTTTTCGAATTGAATTATTCGAAGCGGTCGTTCGTCTGCCCTACTACTTATTTTTTAAATGGCAGGCGTTTTGATGGTTATCATTAGTCCTTTAGTTGACTTCAGGCTTCACAGAGGAGGAAGGACAGAAGTGTCTTAAAGACAAATGTAGAAAAAAGGTAGCAAAAAAAGGTAAGGTGAGTACTGTGAAAGTAGTCCAATATGACATACAGTGGGGTGATGGTAGTTTGAAGTCAGAAGTCAACTGTCAGTTAATAGACTTTTTGCCGTATGAGTATAAGTTGCCTATGATGCACCACATGGATGTGAGTCTATCGCACAATCCGCCCAGATAATTATAAATTGAGGAGAATTGATTTTGTGAATTTTAATTCGGCATAGGAGCACTGCCGCTTGAAGAAATACTAGCTGCAAGTGCTTAAGAACCTTAATGCCGTATTTGGCACACATTACTTTGAAGAATCAGAAACCACAGAGGGTAGGGCGCTATGAGGTCATGAAGGTTGTCCTTACTACACAAGATATACTACACCCGGTATGGAGAGTTTGCGTGATGGTCTAGTTAGAGAGTTACACCTGTGTGGGCGCGCATGTGTGCGTGCGTGTGTGTGTGTGTGCATGTGCGTATAACTGCACTAAACAAAAACTGACAATTCAATAAATGGGAGTTAATTCAATTAACTTTCCTGGTCATTTAAGATTAGTTCAGGATAGCCTTTTGCGCAGCTGTCCTAAATCGTTATCACTAAACGGCGGTTCAAATTACTTCATCTAACGTTTAGTATATTGTTTATTATTAACTTAAAATTCAATTAAGGCGTTTAATTTGACTCTTTGAGAAATTACCTAATTGGTGGAAGCGCGGAGTTCAAAATATTGAACCAAGGGTCTAGAAATTAACTTTTTCGTTTATTTTTTTTCACTGTTTCACGATTTTAGAGGCAAGTAATAATTACCGACGGAATACTAGTAATAGGTGTGGGGGGGGGGAGGAGGTGTGTTATTTTATACTACCTTTACTTCGAAAGCGAAATTGAATATTTGATTGCCATGGCAATGACCTTCATAGTATATTGAGATAAAGGTCTTTATGCGGATCAATGACTGTGCTATTCAAATTTCCGGCGCATGACTACTCAATAAATTCCGCCTGACGCACACAAAGACCCCCATGATACCCGACCCGGCCTATTCTCGAATGTGTTCCGCCTATCTACCCAAGAGTAATTTCAATTTATTAAAAATGTGGAGACATGACTGGGATTGGAATGGGAGAGGATAATGGTGTCATTAAAGTAAAGTGCCATTCAACAGATTTGTAGGGCTCCTTAATGTCCTCCCTCATTTTTAAACCGTCAGTTAGGCCTTTGGCTAAGGACTCCTTAAAACCTGCTAAATGAGCAGAGGATAAGTGGCCAACCTCTCTTTCAACTTCTAGCAGTAGGTATATAGTAATTGATACCCTTAGGGTTTCGACTATAGGGACTTAGACGTTCCATGCTTTGTAATTGGTAAATTACCCATTTGAATATAACGGTTACTACATATTAGGGGGAGAATATAAAGTTATGCAGGTAATTCCTTCTATAGTCTAATATTTTTAAGCGCATGCTTACAACCATAATTAATTTGGTACTATTTATGTTAAAAAAATACAACTGATTTATTCATGTTCATCTATAGAACGCTTTACTGATATTCATGCTGAACCTTCAGAGGTGGTTGAAATAATCCCAATTCCAAACAACAAGTACAAATAATGTAATTAGAACATTTCAACACCGCATTAAAGTATTTTAAATTCACTTAAATGAATTATGAACTTTCAAAGTATTTGTAATGAGCACCATTTCCGCGCGCAATCTCACTCTCTCTATTCTTTATTTGGAAGAGATCGAATTTGAAGTACTACCTGGCCTTGAGAATACTGTGATGTATTTGTGCTTCTGAGGTAAATCAAACCCAGACAAAAGTATTTGTTAAAAAAATACTCTAAACAATATGGCTCAAAGTTTAAAACTTATATATATAGAAAATTCAGAGCGTGTCATTTTAAGAACAAATGAAATTCCACAAGAAATCATAATTTATACTCTGAAGATTTAATAGCCTAACTTAAACCCCAAGAAATGAGAATACAAAAAAGACAGGCACTCATAAGTTTAACATCTTCAAATATAATTTCCCTGCAGATTGAGATCAATTACTTTAAGTATACAAAAAAAGTGTAATTATAATTAACGACTTATTATATCCAGGAATGATAATGGCAAAACATTGATATTACATCATAATCAAGGCTTCACTGAAAAACTGCCTTTAAAAACTGCTCCTAGAAGCTGTATTTCAGACGTCACACTTTATCGAAAAATCAATATCCACACGTGAGATAAACAGCTGATCGAAAAGGACAATACAGTATTATTGTGATCATTCAATTTTTAGGAAAACAAAGGATGTTTACACAATATAAGGGAGGGCATATATATAGGGAGAGAGAGCGAAATGGGTTGAAACAAATAGGGGTCATTTACTTTATTTCTCAACTTAAGAAGATGGTCTACCGCATGATTGATACAAAAATTAAATTGATTTTTCCACCTCTGCTGCTTGTCATTATTCTCGAATAATGTTGGTAAAAGGAAAAAATTAAAAATGAGGAAAAGAGAATACAGACTGCGAGAGAGATGGGGAGGTAGTCAAATCGGAAAAGAAAAAAAAACACGGAACGTCCAAGTTTCAACTGTATTGTCGAGGTGGGAATATTAAAAGGTGGATGACTAGTATCAGTGAACATGATCACTCAACTTGTATTTATTGGGCAACGTTAATTTCTTCGGGATGTTCTGCTGATTCCTCTGTAGGCACTTTGTGATCACCTTCTTGTTGTTCCCCCTCTTCAACTTTATCACCTTCATTATTTCCATGAGTTTCAGTATTTTGCTCACCATTGGCAGGGTTATCCTCTTTATGTTCTTCCTTATTTTCCTCAGGAACTTCCGGAATTTCCTCGTGTGTTTCATTTGAAGGGGCTTCACCATTCACGGGCTCAGAACTCTCTTGCTCAGGGTGTCCATCCTGAGTTGGAGGAGCCTCACCTTCCTGAGAAGCAGGATGTTCATCCTGAGTTGGAGGAGCCTCACCTTCCTGAGAAGCAGGATGTTCATCCTGAATTGGAGGAGCCTCCTCTCCCTGAGGAGCAGGATGTTCATCCTGAGTTGGAGGTGCCTCCTCATGAGCTATGGGTACTTCCTCGTTTTGCGCTAGTTCTATCGCTCCTTCAATGACTTCATTGGTAAGCTGCTGGGCTGCTTCATTCACTTCAGCTTCAACTGCCTCAGCGGCCTTCGAAATAGCCTCATCAACAATGGAGGTACATTCCTGAGCGATCGGTTTATCATCTTTAGTAACAGGAACGGATTGATTTACAGCAATGGCTGGTTGAACAGCCTCTCCTTTTTTAAGCGATGCTGATTTTTTCTTTGAAGAAAATTTAGTTCCTAGATAGGTCTGAGCGCAAACCTTCTTCTTCTTTTCCTGTTTGGGCGGTTTGGAAACTAGCACTCCCATGGTATTAGAATTGAAAGATTACTGGTGGGAAATAATATTAAAACAAGAGACAAAGATATTACGCAATTGAGAGAATGATAGAGATAGAGAGCGATGCACGCACTATTTGCGAGGGGTGAGCGTGCTAAATGAAGTTTAAAGACGCGATGTCACTTATTTTTATACGTTAGTGTTGTGATTGGCTCTATTGGAATTGACCAATCGCCTCTCTCTGAGTGGCATGACCCAATTCTATTGGTCTAAGTCAATCACAAATAAAATGAAAGTCCTTTACTAGTGACACGGTATAATTAACAATTAGCACTAATTTATTTTAAAAATTGTACTACTTACAAATAATTCTCTTGTAAGTGGTCTTTTTCAGTAAGCAAAATACGTATTATTTTGCTATTATTGGAGAATTTTTGGCCGAAATTTTTCATCTGAAAATGGTCACTTTTATTGGAGATTCTCATCTAATTTTAAGATCCCGAAGCAAGATCTAGAGAAATAATTAGTGCACTAAATTGAACTTTCAATTGGAATGCTCGAAAAAAAGCAGAGTGCACTTGTATCTTGTTCGTTTTTTTCAGATAATTCTTCAAACCATTCGTGGAGCAATGGCCTCTAAGTGACCTCGTTGGCTTAAGATGATGTGGCCACCCAAAGAGTCATAAAACCAATCTCTCAAATGCAGGTCAAGTCCTTTCTGAAAGGACGGAAGCCCCTTTGATTAATAATAGTTGCTAAAACCAAATTGCGCATTTTTTGTAAATTTTTTAGACTATTTTGAAAAAAAGCCTGACAGACCCTTCTGCCACCCAGACATATACCCGAAGTGATCGATAAGTCGCTTACGTTAATCTGCAAATCAACACACTCTGTGCATCGTGAACATGCATTCGTTATAAAAACAGGAAACCAAATTCGAAATTAGCATATTGGAATTGAGGAAGAAAGGATGTTATTATTATTATTATTTCAAATGGCAGGCTTTATGATATTTATCTTTAGCACCTTAGTTAGCTGCGGGTTTCACGGGGGGGGGGGGCGGTAGGAACATATATTTTGACTTAAGGACAGTTAACAGTAGTTCATTGGTTGACTTCTGGCTTCCCAGTATCTTTAGGACTGGACACGATTCAGGGGGGGGTCTTCTTCATTTCACGTAGAGGGCATGTTGGCTGGGGGTATACGCCTGTTCTCTGAAGGAGTTTCGTAAGGTAATCATGTCTAAACTCAGCAACGGCTTCGATTCCAGACGAGAGGGAGTTTAGTAATTTCTATCAAATGGCAGGCGTTTTGATAGTTATCATTAGCCCTTTAGTTGACTTCAGGCTTCATAGAGGGGAGGAACATCAAGGTGAAAAAGTCGAGAGTGGGGGGGGGGAGGAACAGAAGAGTGTTTCAAAGATGTAGAAGAGACAGGCACAAAGGTAGAGAAAAAAGGTAAAATGAATACTGTGAAAGTGGCCGAATATGACATACAGTGGGGTCATGGTACTTTGAAGTCAAAAGTCAACTGCCAGTTAATAGACTTTTTTGCCGTATGAGTATACGTTGGCCAGGGTGCACCACGTGGAGGTAAGTCTATCGCACACCCCAGATGAGAGGAAGTACTTCTTCAGCAGATAATGTACAAATGAGAGTCGCATTCAAGTTCAGTAGGCCTCGTTGATAATCTAAAACTGTTCACCGACTTATAATTAAATCTTCCCACTAATCTTTGCTTAGTGTTATGTGCACATTTGTGGTATTCCACTATTTCTTTCTACTTTTCTGCAATATTTTCAATTTATTTGTAAAATTATAAATTCTTATTTATGTCAATTCAAGATCGACTGCATTAAGTAGAGTCTTTGTTGTGTGGGGACTATTTTTTTAAATTCAAGGTAGGGTTCCCTATGGTACTGCAAAACAATATGTAATTTATTGAAATTTCAAAATATTTTTTTTCAATTAGTCTTAAATATACGAAGGCAAGTTGGCGTTATTAATACATGCAATAAATGCTTAAAAATTACACACTCTATATGGCCAATCTCCTAAATTCAGCAACCGCTTACAACAAGTTTTGGAAACATGTCAGGCCTCTCATATTAAATGCAGAAAGGAATTAGTTAAAGGGTAAAATCTATAAATTTCAAAATACTGACAGACGGAAATAAAATCAAAGTATTCAGATTTCGGAATTTTTTTGGAAACATCGATGGATTACTCGAAACTTTTTCGTGATACAAATTTAAATGCTAAAGACACTAAATTATCAAAACGCTTGTTTAAATCATCTAAAATATCGGCACTGACTGGGACGAGGTTTGCACCACCATCTTCATTCGACAACGTCAACTCTAATGTAATTTAGTTACTGTTGGCAGGGCAAGTTCGGAATGCTGAGATCTTGGGTAAATCTTGGAAAAAATGCGGCTTATGAAAATGGATAATTAGAACAGATCTTGCTAATAATGGAAGAATTTTCATTTTTGAGAGCCCTTCAAAATGTCAAAGATCGAACTCCAATGAAAGAGGGCGTTTATCAAATTCCCAAGTTAGGTTTTGTGGTGAAAAATTTAGTGAACGGGGTGTTCTTGATACAGTATCAACAGTGCAAATAAGCTATTGATTATCCATAGTGAATACTCCTCTATTCTATTAATTTAAGGATATCGAATTTTTGTCCGAAGCAATTTATTTATATTTAATGGCAGGCGTTTTGGTGGTTATCATTAGCCCTTTAGTCGGCTTCAATCTTCGCAGAGGGGGGGGGGGGGACAGAAGAGTGCTTCAAAAACAAAGGTAGAATAGGTAGAAAAAAAGGCGAAGTGAGTACTATGGAAGTAGTCGAATATGACATACAGAGGGATGATGGTATTTTGAAGTTGGAAGTTAATAGACTTTTATGCTGTATCTGTATACGTTGCCCAGGGTGCACCACGAGGAGGTAAGTCTATCGCACATCCCTTGTCCGAAGGAATTGTGGCTTTGTCTTCAACTGAAACATAACCGAAAGCTGACTGAAATTTCTAGAAAGCCCAAAAATGTTATATTTATCCTGTACAGTGTGAGATACTACCAATGAAAACTATTAATTTTAAATTGAATTAAAATCGGATAATTAGAGAATCAATTTTTTCCCCAATCTTTTGTAGATGTTGAAATGAATGGTATTTAAACGCCGGGGTGGGGTAGGGGGAGGAATAGAACTGACGGAGCGACACTTCTTATTGGTCATTTAATTCACCCATTAAGGATATCAATAAGGCAACACTATAGTTTATCCTGATTTCTTATAGATCATTAATGTTAGTTCATTATTAAGGGCAATAATGTTCTCCCCCCTCCCCACCAACCCAAAAAAATTGGAATTTAAAAATGTACTAAAAATCAGGACCACCCACAAATGTTGGAATTAACTTATTAAAAACCTTACCTAAATGAGATCTTCGGTTAAATATGGAAGAATTATAGTAGAAACTTTTATTTCCATGGTAAATTATACAATTTGTCTTGAAGATTATCATCAAATTGAATGGAATTCTCTTGGAAACACCCATTGCGAATTGCCCAAAAAGGCAATTAAAAAACGGTTAGAGCCAAAGCTCATTTTTGTTAACAATTAAGAAGACTAAAAGGGAAATTATAAAACCACCAAAAAGCTGGCAAATCAAATTAGGAGGTCTATCATTTTCATCATGTCTGCAAGTTCTCGTCGCATCATATTGATAAATTTTCAGTTCATGGCTTGTATGTGAGACAACAAATAACTGTTGAGGAAGTGGTTGAAATAGTTCTGCGAAAAGCACTCGCTCCGCCCCAAATACACAAAAGTATGGTCAAGTTTGAACAAGATTGACATTGCAAGAACAGGAATGATTCTACAGTGGCCCAACTGTCATAGAACTACCAGCAACTACAATTTGGCAGATTCTAAGGTTCTTCTTCACAAATGCAGATGGGAAGTGGTTGTCGGGAGAAGAAGAAGGTGATGTCTGGACGAAGTGACTCTAATGAGAAATATGTTCCTCGCTTACCAGGACACCAATCAGGAGTGGAGGTGCGAAATTAAAATGACTATTCGGGAGACACTTGTGAGATGAGAAGACGGTGTCGAAGAGACCATCACTGAAACATTGATATTTCGCAGGCAGATTGAATGTCTTGTTGAGTGGAGGGAAGCCACGTGAGTTAAGTGAAAGGGGTGTTGTTAGGAAACCAAGTGGGGTACTTCACTTGGCGTCTAAATGCAGATGTGATAAGGAAGTACTTGAAACAATAAATCAGTGGAAATCAAAATATACTCAATTTATTGACTTTAAGGGTCATTCTGGAGTGTATAAATGTTAGCCTTATATTGAGACTGCCACATGCACAAAATTTTCTGATTAGCATTTATCGATTTTCCTTGGGGGATGAGGAGGGTACTAAGTCCTATTGCCGGTACAAATGTGACATATTATTGGCTATATTTGCTAACCAGGTATTAGCTGCTACTGTGTTGATTAATTCCAAGTAGGCATATGAATTTAACCCATGATTCCCTAGGATTAAAAAAAACCCCGAGATATTCAACTCCCTCTTGGGAGGGTACCCACTGAAAGATAGGGCAGCCACTCCTTATTCTGCCTGTCATAGTTGTAATCCTGGCAAATGTCGTTCGCAAAGTAAAAGAGCCATGTCTTGTGGGCTTCATCAGGACATTTCCGTTTTGATTCATTTCTCTATACGCGTCAGTCACGAGTAGAAAGGGGTGGTTGCAAAAGACAAAGGCTTTTTCCAGAGTGAAGTAACCTGAGATGTGGAATATATTTGATTGGTAGAGGGTAAATCTTGCTACTCCCAAATTTCACATATTAGGAAAAAACACTCGCCTGTTGATTAAGGATTTGATGAAATTCTTCTGAAATGAACTCAACTTCTCAGCACGTTAATTTTAAGCGCTTAATTATACTAGAACTCGTTTAAGCGAAGAGGTTTCACTGGTTCTACAATGTGTTGTAGATGAGATTAAAATCTAGAGTCTT